TCTCTCTCTTGATCGATTCTCCCTCTCTTGTTCTTTCTATTTTTCTTATTCAAACCCCTTTTTCTTTTACCCTAATTAGCATATAATTAAGTATAAAAGATGATAAATCAACCCATTAATTAATTCAAGGTTATCTCCTTTAACCCTCAAGAAATTGGATTATTAATATTCACCCACTAAATTTATAATTATAGCAGGAATAGTCCAAAACATCCCTTAAAACATTTAAAGAAATCCGACCCAGCCTGGGATTACGCAGCCTGTGACGGGCCGTCATGGCTGTGACGGTCCGTCGCAAAGTTCAGAGAGTTAATTTCTGTGGAAGATGTGTGACGGTCCGTCGTGCCCACGACGGTCCGTCCTGCCATTCCGTTACGAAGTTCAGAGAGTCGATTTCAGTACCCAAATTTTAGAATTCTAAGTGTTTTGGAACGAGACCCCCTCGACGGTCCGTTGTGCTCATGACGGTCCATCGTGGGATCCGTCGTCTCAGCCAGTTTTTTCAGAAATAAAATCTGCTGCTCAAAACGACTAAACAGGTCGTTACAGGTGGTAAAGATTTTTAAAAATATGAGCCTAAAATCAAGAGAACCCAATTTACTAAATTGCTCAGTATTTTTATTTATTTTCTTGAAATATTATATCAATTAGTTAATTAGGTGTAAAGTGGAAAAATTGTGTATTATAACAAAATATTAATTCAAAATAAATGTTATAGTTACAATTTCATTTAATTTCAAATCTCATCGAATTTATTGTCATTCGTCTCTCCCCTCTCCGGAATCTCGCTCGATCTCTTTTTCAGTCATCTCTCGCCCCTGTCAGTTTATACAAATAGAAATGTATAATTTGAGTTTGTGTTTGTATAAAGCAAAGGAGACGGTTTATACAAATACAAACAATTTTTTTTCTGTCCTATACACTTATGATTATACAAATACAAATCTTTCTCTACCCAATTCTCTTTTGAATTTCTCTCTCTCACTGTACACAAACACAAATTGTAGAAATATAATATATAATTTGTGTTTGTATAAAGAAGAGAGAAAAATCTTTGATATCAAATACAAATGTTTTAACTCAATTCAATTGTATATGATTCAAATTTTATTCAGATATACAAACACAATTATTGATACATATACATAGTAGGTTACACATATACAATTATCTAACCGATATACATATACAATCCATCCATCTCCATTCTCTGCCCTCTCAAGCTCGTCTCTCTCCTCTCTTTTTCAATCTCATTTGCCGCTTTAGCTTAACACAAAGAACATATACATATATAAACATAATTTTCATATATAGAGACGAATTAACGCCTGATTTATACAAATCGCCACGATATGCAAATCATATGCTCCATAGCAAACATAATTTGGCTATGGTATGCAAATAACAAAACTGTAGTTATAAAAGCTGATGTGATTTAGCCTATATTAGGTACTA